GTCAGAAAGATAAGCTTTTTGAACTTTGCTACAAAAGTAAAAAGAAAGAGGCATTAAGTGGACCTTCAAATGAAAATTGTAGTTCTAATTAACTAGTACCACAACTTTTTCAGAACAATGCTTTGTGTTGGTGGTATTGGGGTGAGAGTGGTTATGAAGCTGGAAAGCCATCCCAACCTTTTGTTTTGTTTTGTTTTTTATTTTGAGTTAATCATTTTATTAGTCCCTAAACTTACACCTGATTTGCATTTGAGTCCCTTAATTTTCAAAATCGTTCCTGTGGTCCTTTAACTTCACTTTCGTTAGGACAAATGGTCATACCGCCAATTTTGTTAACTTTTTCTGTTAATTGTAGGGGCAAAATAATATTTTTATATTAAAATAAAAATGAATAAAAAATCATATCGTTAATATAACAATAAAAGAAAAAAAAAATCAAGTTTTGGGGGAATAGAAATCGGGATAGAGGGGGAGAGAGTTTAATTTTAATCTTTTAGTTTTTTTAATTTTTAATTCATATTTTAATCAATTTAATACAAAAATACCATTTTGCCCCTGCATTTAATAGAAAAGTTAACGAAATTGACGGCAGGACCATTTGTCCTAACGAAATTGAAGTTGAAGAACCACAGGAACAATTTTAGAAATTGAGGGACTCAAATGCAAATCGAGTCTAAGTTCAAGGACTAATAAAACAATTAACCCTTTTATTTTTGTTTAATACTAGCTATAGTATGAATTATAAAAGGATAGAGATTTCTCACACACGCAGACTATCGCGGTGTCATGCCTTGAGACCACTGGTATGTAAGTCAATGCTCATTTCCACTGGCTAGACCCCATTGGTAGACCATTTCCAACCTAAAAGGTCTCAAAATTAACTCAAATACAATTATTCATCAATCCAACCTAAATGGCCGTTAGATGAGTTTAATTTTTGAAATTCGTATAGCATGTAGATTGAATCACACTCATCCAATGACAATTAGCGCGGTGCTAATGCTCACCAACATTTAAGAGTGGTGAGTAAAAATGTTCTCGACTTGATATACTGCTAAAATATAAAAACCTATGAGAGAATATTGTTTGTGGGAATTTTCTGTGTATTCTTCTCCTTGTAGGAGGTCATATTTATAATACAATAAATCCTTGTAAGTCATGGAAAGTAATAACTCCTAATTCTATATATAGTAGGAAATCATGAATTAAAGTAAATCAATTACATTTACTATAGGAATCATTAGTGTGTAAGGAAAGTAAATGTGGGTCCACAAGTCATGCCAACACTCCCCCTCAAGTTGGTGCATAAATGTCGCCAATGCCCAACTAGTCCAATGAATTGTGGAACGCTCTACTTGAAATTGCTTTTGTCAAAATATCTGCCAATTGATCCTCGGACTTTATTAAAGGAAACTGAATCACTTTAGCTTCGAGCTTCTGTTTGATACAGTGTTGATCTACCTCAACATGTTTGGAGCGATCATGTTGAACTGGATTATGCGTAATAGCTATTACAGCCTTGTTGGCATAAAAGAGATTCATTACAGATGAAGGTCTATGCCCAAGTTCAGTAAGCAACCTCTTTAACCAAATGAGTTCGCAAATTCCTTTGGTCATACCTCTGAACTCGGCTTCTGCACTGAATAAGGTGACCACCTTCTGTTTTTTGCTCGTCCATGTAACCAAATTATCTCCCATGAATGTGAAATAACTGAATGTGGATTTCCTATCCGTTATACTTCCTGCCCAAACTGTATATGTGTAACCATCAATATTCAAATGACCATGTTTTGAGAACATTAGTCCGTTTCCGGGTGCAGACTTCAAATATCTAAGTATTCGGAGAACTGCATTCATGTGGTCTTCACTTGGAGAATTCATAAATTAATTAACCACACTCACCGCATAAGCAATGTCTGGTCGAGTATGTGACAAATAGATCAATCTTCCCACTAACCTTTGGTGTCTTTTCTTGTTAGTTGGAACTTGATCCAGGTATTCTCTAATGATGATTCAGAACAATAAGAGTGTCTACAAGTTTGCAGTCTAGCATTCATGTGTCTGTTAACAAGTCCAAGACATATTTCCTTTAAGATAGAAATATGCCTTGCTTTGATTGGGTCACCTCAATCCCAAGAAATACTTGAGTCCACCTAGATTTTTCATCTCAAATTCAATAGCTAAATAGTTTTGCAGCCGAGATATTTCATGTTCATCATTCCCAGAAATAATCATATCATCAAAATAAATTATTAAACCTATTACCTTTCCTTTGTGATGTTTCAAGAATAGAGTATGATCTGAATTGCTCTGTTTGAACCCATAATTCCTCATTGCCAAAGTGAATCGTCCGAACCATGCACGTGGTGACTGTGTAAAACCCGTGTCTTGGGGAAACAAGAACGGTGAGTAATCCCACATCGCTCGGGGAGGGAAAGGTGAAGTTCTTAAATGTGTGGGCACTTCTCTTCCTAGCACGAGGCCTTTTGGGAGCTCACTGGCTTCGGAGTCGTAGGAACTTCGAAGTTAAGCGAGTTAGGGGCCAGAGCAATCCCAGGATGGGTGACCCACTGGGAAGTTGCTCGTGAGCTCCCAGAAACAAAACCGTGAGGGCAGAGAGGGGGGCCCAAAGAGGACAATATCGTGCTAGGAGAGTCAGGTCGTGACAGAATGGTAGCAGAGCTGGACCCCGATCGGAAGTGTGCCAGCGAGGACGCTGGGCCCCAAGGGGGGTGGATTGTAAGACCCGTGTCTTGGGGAAACAAGAACGATGAGCAATCCCACATCGCTCGGGGAGGGAAAGGTGAAGTGCTTAAATGTGTGGGCACTTCTCTTCCTAGCA